AGTACTTCCATCAAAATGTTCTTTTCAGCATCAGTAGGGTGCTTGGTTGCCCACTGAAAATTGATGCCCCTACTTTTAATATGGCTAGACATGCTGGTGCTAGAGTTTTGGTAGAAAGGGACATCTCCCTGCCTGAAATAAATAGGGTGTGGATTGGTACTTCTGAAGAAGGATTTTGGCAGCAAATAGTAATGGAACAAAAGCTAGTATATTGTCAACATTGTAAAATGTTTGGACATAATGTGGAATGGTGTTATAGACTACAACCTCCATCTAAAAGAAAACCTGTTGGGGTCAGAAATACTTCTAGGCCAGTAGAAACAGATGGAATGGTAGTGGCAGCTGTTGCTACTGATGTTGTAGTTGAAAATACTATTGGGGTTAAACCCAATAATAATGTTGTGGAGCAGAAAGAAGCCGTTAATATTAATAAAAATTTGAAGGAAAATATAATACATGATGACAACTTAATCATTATTAATCTAATTAGAGTTGAAGACCAGATAATTGACAGTTTGATTGATGTCTTAACTAAAGATTGGCAAGTTCAAAGAAGCAATAAAAAGAAAAAAAGCAAGTTAGAATTTAAACAGCCTTTGGAGGGCCCAATTACTATGGATCACCATCCAAGGACTAGGGGGAAAGGGAGGACCTTCTCTCAATGATTAAGTTTCTTGTTTGGAACATTAGGGGTATTGCTCACCCCTCTTCTCTCAAGAGATTAAAAAATCTAGTGAGAGTCCATAAAGTTTGGTGTTTTGCCATTCTTAAACCTTTATTTACTAAAAATTCCCAAAAAATTCAGAAGAAGTTCCCTCATTTTGATCATTTCTCTAACTCCAATAACAAAATTTGGCTATTTGCTAGAGCTGAATTATAATGGTCTGTTTTGGTAAATCATTCTCAATTTATTCACATCCAATTCTATATTGGAGCTCAAGTTGGCTATGCCACTTTCATTTATGCCAGTAGCCTTGCCAACAACCAAGCCACCTTATGGAAT